ATTAGTATGTGAGTGTATGTGTGTATGGGTGTGCATGCATGCACACGTGCATACATGTGCATCAGTACTAAGGCTTGAACTCAGGGTCAAGGCAATTTCATTTGGCTTTGTTGTTCAAAGGCTGGCACTCTTAACACGAGAGCCACAGCTCCACTTCTGGCTTTTTGCTGGTTGATTAGAGATAAGAACCCCACAGACTTTTCTGCCCAGGCTAGCTTCAAACTTCGATCCTCAGATCTCAGTCTTCTGAGTAGCTAGGATTACAGGTGTGAGCCGCTAGTACTTGGTGAACTCTTTGAACTCCTACAGGATCGAGATGGGCCTTAAGCCAGTAACTAGCACCTTTCTAAGAAGAGATAAATTTGAATGCAGAGACATAGATATGGAGGGAAGACAGATGCAGAGGTTGGAATTGTGCTCCAAAGAACATGAAGGAATCTGGGAACACCAGAAGCTAGAAGAGGCAAGGTTTCTTCCCTAGAGACTTCAGAGAGAACACAGTTCTGGCAACACCATGATTGATTTCTAGCCTTCAGAATGGTAAAAAGTATTCATTTCTGTATTTAAGCTAACAAATTAGCTGGATATAGTGGCTATTACCTGTGATCCTAACTGCTTGGGAGGATGAAATCAGGAGGATTGAAATTTGAGGCCCAGCTTGAACAAAAAGTTAGTGATATTCTCTGTGTCTACCAATAAAAGCTAAATATAGTGATACATGTGTCTGTCACACCAGATATGCAGGAAGTGTAACTAGGAGAATCTTGGTCCAGGCTCTCCTGGGTATAAATGTGAATTTCTAGTGGAAAAATAACCAAGGCAAACAGGAGTTAGGAGCATGGCTCAGCAGTAGAGTACCTATGTAGCAAGTACCTGTAGCAAGTAGAGTACCTGTGTATCCTGGAGTTCAAACCCCAGTACTGCCAAAAAATCAAATTAACAAGTTCACAATATAGTACTGTGGCATCCTTTGCATTGTGTTCACCAAAGCTGGGGTTGGAAACCCAGTATATAGACTTATGGGAGGGGACTACTTTTAGGGGGCAGGTGAGAGAGAGCAGAATAAAAATAAGGTGTTGCTTGTAGAAAACTAAACCTAGATACTTATATATCACCCTGCACCAGAATCAACTCCAAATGGATCAAAGAACTCAGAGTCAGAGCAGACACTCTGAAAACATTACAGGATGGAATAGGAGAAATCCTAGGTTTCCTTGGCACAGGCCAAAATTTTCTTAATAGAGACCCAGAAACACAACAAATCAGAGAAAGGTTGTACAAATGAGATTGCATGAAGTTGCAGAGCTTCTGCATGGCAAAGGACATAGCTAGCAAGATCAATAGAAAGCCCACAGATTGGGAGAAAATCGTCACTAGCCAGAGAACGGATAAGTATCTTGTGTCTAAAATATACCTGGAACTCAAAAACTTAAATCCCCCAACAACAAATCCTCAAAGAAACAACTGCCCCATAAATAAGTGGGCTAAAGACGTAAAGAGAAACTTCTCTGAAGAGGAAATAAGAATGGCTAATAGAGGGGCTGGGAAGGTGGCTCAGTGGTAGAGCGCATGCCTTGCATGCCAGAGGCCCTGGGTTCGATTCCTCAGCACCACATAAGCAAAAAGAAAAAAGCCAGAAGTGGCGCTGTGGCTCAAGTGGTAGAGCGCTAGCCTTGAGCTGAAGAGCTGAGGGACAGTGCCCAGGCCCAGAGTTCAGGCCCCATGACTGGACCCCAAAAAAAAAAAAAAAAAAAAAAAAGAATGGCTAATAGACACATGAAGAAACGCTCAACCTCTCTAGCCATAAAAGAAATGCAAATCAAAACAACATTGAGATACCACCTCATCCCAGTTAGAATGGCCATAATCAAGAATTCTAATAACAATAGATGCTGGAGGGGATGTGGACAGAAAGGAACCCAACAGCATTGTTGGTAGGAGTGTAAACTTGTTCAACCCTTTAGAAAGTAGTATGGAGGTTCCTCAAAAGACTCCACATAGACCTCCCCAATGACCCAGCAATCCCACTTTTGGGCATTTACCCAAATGATCACAAACAAGACCATACTAAAGCTACCAGCACAACTATGTTTATTGTAGCATTATTTACCATAGCTAAGATATGGAACCAACCCAGATGCCCCTCAGTAGATGAATGGATCAAGAAAATGTTTTATGTATATATATATATATATATATATACACACATATACATACAATGGAATTGTATGCCTCTATCAGAAAGAATGACATTACCCCATTTGCTAGGAAATGGAAAGACTTGGAAAGAATTATATTAAGTGAAGTAAGCCAGGCACAAAGAAACACAGGTCCCATGGTTTCCCTTATTTGCAATAACTAGTATACATCTGAGACAAGCAGAAAAGGTCAGATAAGATGATGTTAAGTGAAATGAACCAAGATAAGGACACAATTGGTTTTTTCTTTCTTGCTATTGTTTCTAACATACTTTTTTTTTTTTCCGGTCATGGGAACTCTGGGCCTGGGTGCTGTCCCTCAGCTCTTCAGCTCAAGGCTAGCACTCTACCACTTGAGCCACAGTGCCACTTCTGGCTTTTTTTTCTGCTTATGTGGTGCTAAGGAATCGAACCCAGGGCCTCAAGCATGCAAGGCAAGAGCTCTACCACTGAGCCACCTTCCCAGCCCTAACATACTTTTTTTTAAAGGAGATATCTGATTGACTTTATTTTTTCCAGTTGCTATGTTTTTTTCAAATTCTTTATTGTGATTAAGTGATTATATAATTTCTCAAATTTCACAGTATTGTGGGATAGTGATGCTTAGTCAAAGTCACAAACACATATTTATAAGGTACCATGTGATTTTTTTGTTGCTTTGTATGTCTCTCCCCACCATATAACCCCTGTTTTCACTGTATTTGATGTTGGTATAATTTGGGGAGCAGAAGGGAAAAAACAAATTGTTTAAATAGGGATACAGGTTGACCCATTGCAACAATGAGATGTATAAGACACTATATGGGAAAATGAACTTTACAATTTAGGTGGGGGGGGTGGGAGGGGATATAGTTGTGGAGATGGGAGGGAAAGGGATGGTAGGGGAAAAACAGAGCAGGCAACAATGCTTGATAAGAAATGTACTCATTACCTTGCTCATGTGATTGTACAGTATTTTCACAATAAAAATCTTATCAAAAAATAAGGTGTTGAACTCCTTCATCTATATATGCTAGCTAGAAGCATCAGCTGTGTGTATTGTATATGGGAAATGCATCTGTAGTCTTGGATCTGAGAAAAGTTTTGTCCTATCCCTCAACCATCTCTTCTACCCTTGCAGCTCATATGAGCAATCTGTCTTGAACAAGTTAAAATCCTGCCCAAGTTTTCTCAGCCTATTAGTAAGAGAAGCCAAATTCAGATCCAGAACACTGGCTCCAAACACCCTGCCTTTTAATGACTTCAAGCTAATGGAAGGATATTCTGTGATTTGCAGGTCCTGGGGCTTGAACTCAGGACCTGGATGCTGTCCCTGTGGGCTTTTATGCCCAAGGTTAGTGCTGCTCTACCACTTGGGCACCAGCTCCACTCCACTCCCCCCCTCCCTTTTTTTTAGTGGATGATTGGAGATAAAAGTCTCAGGGACTATCCTTCTTGGGTGGGCTTCCAACCTCCATTCTCAGATCTCAGCTTCCTGAGTAACTAGGATTACAGGTGTGAGCCATTAGCACCCGATTTTCACTTTTTAAAATCAAAGGTAAGCATCCCCACCTCCCCCATCCCACTCCCCATATTTGAACGTTACATTTCTTTGGAAACTATTTAGAGGTTACTGAAATGGTTAAAGAAAAAGTTAAAAAAAATCCTGGCAATAGCTACTGATAATATTGAGTAATAATTTCCTGGTATGTTTTTTTTTTAACCTCTTATTTATAGCATTAAAAATTAGCTGACATTAGTTACACAGAGGAGGATTTCCCAGTTACATTTCCACTCCTATTTTACCGTACATCTAATCTTTCCGGTTTCTTTATTTTTTAGTTGTGAAAATAGTCATGATCGCTGCATGTTGAATCTCACTGTCCATCGTTTCGTGCTTTTCGCTGAAACATCCTCCCATGAACATTCTCTCCCGTCATTAGTTCGGGGAAACATGATTTTTTAAATTGCTGTTCCTTCATATTAACGAGCCATAATTTATTTCAAAGCTTCTATTATTGCCTTCTTAGTGTTCAGCTTTCCACCAGGACAACTAAGCAAGCGTACATTTTGCATAGATCTTTATCTTGGTTATTTCCTCAAAGCCTGGAGGGGCGCGGTGGGGGGGGGGGAGTGGGGTTTTTGAGGAGATAATACTGAGCAGTAAAGGGGCTGGAGAGGAACCGGGACCGCATCCACACCGAGGCCGCCGGCATCGACCAGCCCGGCTACGTCTTGGAAGGCATGCCAGGATTCGATCGCACAGGTCGCCGTGCCTCTCAGGGACGACAGCGGGAAGCCTCGCGGCGGGACCAGGGCAAGGATCCCCAGGGTTCTGACAGGGAGGGGGAGAACACCAGGCTAGGGACCCGGACGGAGGGCAGGAACTCGCGCCAGGGGAGCGCCATTTGGCTGGAGGCGGGGCCCGGCGCTGATAAGGTAATTCTGCACGGTCGGGGGTGAGGGGGAGCCGCAGAGCCGGGGCAGGAGGCGGCACGTCCGCTCCGGCCTCCAGGAGCGCTGGGCTCTGCACGCCTCAGCGAAGTTGGCCGAGGCCCGAACCCCTCCCACCCCTTTAACAGGGACACTCCCCTTTAAGGCGGGCGCCCGCGCGCCCCCGGCCCCGCCCTTCGGGGACGCGCGTGCGCGCGCGCGCGGCGGCGGCGGCGGCGGCGGTGGCGGCGGCGGCGGCGGCGCCGGCTCCCCGGCAGCGCACGTGCCGGCGCCGGGCGGAGGAGCGAGGCGGGAGCGGGCGGCGGGAGGAGGGGAGGCGTCGGGAGCGCGCGCGCGCGCGCTGGGCGCTGCTGGGCTGCGGCGGCGGCGGCGGCGGCGGCGGCGGCGGCGGCGGCGGTTACTATGGCGGAGTCGGCCGGAGCCTCCTCCTTCTTCCCCCTCGTTGTCCTCCTGCTCGCCGGCAGCGGCGGGTCCGGGCCCCGGGAGATCCAGGGTGAGTCGCGGGGCGTGAGGGGCGGGGGCCGGGATGAAGAGGGCTGGGCGAGGGGTGAGGCCTCGAGCCGCGGCCCCCACCGCTACAGCGCGCCCCCTCCCCACGCGCACAATATGGCCGGGCGGGGGGCGCGGAGGAGTCGGGGTGACCTCGGGGGCGCGTCCCCCAGCAGCGCCCACCCAGCCAGCCGCTCCGAGCGCACGCCGGGCCCCGGGGGATCCGAATTCGGGGAGCCCCGGGGGTCGCGCTCCCAGGCTCCCCCCCCCCAGGGGGAGTGCGAGCTCCTTTCAGATTGGGAGGTCCCTGATGTCTGCGCCCCTCAGCCTGGGGGGGGTCCCCCTTCTTCCCTCCCACCAGATGCTCTTGGGGACGTCTTTTCTCCCGCCAAGATTGTGGGGTTCAGCCGCGGGGGCTTGCTTCTCGGAGGTGTTGTGGTGTTCAGAGCCCTCGTGCCCCCCTAGGTTTGCAGCGAAAAGCGGAGTGTGTGTGTGGGGGGGGGGTGGGGGGGTGTCTCTTCTCTTCCCTTCAGCTCCTGCTCTTCGGGCGTCTTGCTCTCCCTCCTCTCTGCCTCGCGGATGTTCTGGGCTCCGGAGTCACATTACCCCCCGTCGCTCGGTCCCTCGCGTTCCCAGGGGCCAACCATCCCTCCTCCTCCAGTGCCTGCCGGTGCAGCCTGGGGAAGTGGGGCGAGCAGGCCCCTAAACCTGTTTGGGAGCTTGGCAGTGGAATCACTCTAACCCTAGGAAACCTAGGTCCCCAGCGGTTGATCTGAATCTAGGTGTTGTTTGATTTTCTCCTCGCCTTTCTCCCCCTCGTCCCCCCCCCCCCCCGCAGGGGGTTCATTCAAATCACTTTGTGGCTGCCTTTTCTGGTGAAATCCTAGAACTTGCCACTCCCCCCCCCTCCACTCCAGCCCCCGATTATTTAAAGATCCCACCTCTAGACTGTCTTCCCGGCCCTTGGTCTGTACTTATTTACCTTCCCACACGGTCTAGTCTTCCCAGCCCTCTCCACCCGCACACACCCCTTACCTTCCAACCCCCACAGCCTTCTGCTCCCAGGATCCACCCCTGCCCTTCCCACTACAGAGGTGGGGACCTTCTGTGGGCCACTCTACTGAGTCTGTTGTTTATGAGGCTGTAGGGGCTGAGAAGAGCAAATGAAACCCTAAAATATTTGAGAGTCGTCTCAAATGTGTTTTGGCTTTGGGGTTGCAGATGAAGGTTATATTTGGCAGTTAGATTGAAGTGATTATTGACCCACAGATGGATCTGGGAGAGATCCTAAGGGTTGTATTTGCTGCTGTTGTACAAAGCCTGCTTGACTTCTCAGCAGCCCCTAACCTTCTAGCATTGAGAGATCAAGTGTGTGTTCTGAGATCTCCTCTCCACTAAAAATAATGATTGCCAGTAGGTCCTGGTCTAACAAACGAAACCATCAAGAAAGGACAGTATGCCACTTTGAAGTCTCAAAAACAAGTTCATTATCTCCTGTGTTGGTATTTGTTCCCCAGTAGCCTGTGCTGTGGGGTCTTTGTTCACTGGCTAATGCTTCTGTTAGGCACCAACTATGTTCCCCCCTGTTGCTGCGCTGTGTCATAGGTAACACTGCTGTGGGGGTCTGATAAACATGTAAGGTAAGAACAGAACCTGACATTCTGTCAAGATAAGGATTGTCATGAATAAGGATGTTTACCAGGCCTCATTATGGGCCATGTTTTTGGAATGTATATGAATGTTATTTCTCTAGTAGAGTAGTAAAACCAAGGAGAGTCAAGCTTCATGTTTGTCATTTGTGTATATATGTGTGTGAATAAATCTTTAAATCCCTCCAATAAGAATTCTTACCCTGCCCCTAATATAGCCAAGATTGAAGCAGTCTTTTCCCTGCTGGTTTGGTGTACTGTCTGTGGGGCTTTTTTTAAAACCTAGTTTAAATGTTTAATTGATAATCCAACTAGGTCTGAATGGAGCAGAGTTCATTTTTTTTTGTAACTCTCCAAAAATGAACGTTTGCTAGGGTAAAGATGGGTGGGCACAATAGGGAGTTGCTTTCTTTTCTTTCTTTCCTTTTTTTTTTTTTTTTTTGTAAATGGGAAATTAAGTTGTGTGTCCAGCAAACATTTCTCTAAGGCCTTTAAACCTCTTGGCTAGACACTACTGTTTTTTTCAGGACACATCTAGTTGCCAGTAGTGCATGCTACAGAGACCACTGTTGCAAAAGGCTTAAAGCAAAACAGTTCTGGGAAGATAGAGGCTGTGGGATAACGAGAAGTTGATTTTTTTTCCCTTCTTCATTTCTTACATAGTAGGTTGGAGAAGTGACAGAGCCAGGCAGCTCTGGTTCTGGTACTTGGACGTGATGTAAGGACAGTAACAGATAGGTGTTTCTGTTAATTAATGAATTAGCTAGGACTTAGTAAAAAGCCAGAGATAAGGAAAATGGGGTTCAGAGTAGAGACAGCATCCATTTTTGATAGGTATGCTATGTTTTAAGACCTAGCTTAGGCATTTTCACATTATTATTCAAAAATGTTAAATTGAGTTAGTAGCAGAAGAACATGACATTCATTTCTTAAAGACAAAAGCAACAAAAGAGGCATTTGAGGTTCTGATAGGAACATTTTGAGTTTCCATGAATACTCAGAATCTAATTTCAAGTTAAGTCTTGTAATTTGGTTGAGTGGATGTGGATTCAAATTACAGTGGAAGTGAATTCCTATAGAGGGAAGGGAAATCTCTGATTTAATGTTGTTAAACAGCTTCTGGAACAGATGTGATAAAACAATAAAATGGCTACATTGGTTAAAGGTCAAAACCAGATGGAGGGAGGGTGCTGATGTTCAGCCCAGAACTTGGCTTCTTTATAAGTTGCCCTTGAACAAGTAACTTAACCTATCTGTTACTGCCTCAATTTTCCCTCTGAAAAGTAAGGAAATATTCTGTGTCACTCTTATTGGGACATTTGTGAGGCTGACTTACTGATAGCCAGTTGGCAGGAAGGTATTTTTAGACACAGTTTCTGACTTCAGTGAATAAGCAATGTTGGGTTACTTTTTTATCTTTAGGGCAGAATAACATACTCTGTGACCAATAGATGTCCCACATGTTAGTGTGGTGGATTTCTTACTTGTGCTTTTTAGTATACCTGTGTCCTGTTTCCTCAAACCTGTCTTTGACAGGCTTTTTTTTTCTTTCTTAGACCAGGCAGCATACCTTTGCTAATCAAAGACAGTCTGGAGGGAGTGACCTGCTTTAGGCTTTATTGGTTGGCAGTGTTACGCAACTCTGGGTATGTTTATGGCACTATGTAAATGTTACATAAGAACATGGAGGCTGAGAGGTGGCCAGAATGGGGACTGTGAACACAGGAAGGTTAGACTGGAGGACTTCATCAGAAAGGACCTTGGGAATCTGCAGTCAGTACAGGAAGAAACTGCACTTCATTTTCCTCTGAAAACCTTTTTAGATGATTGTGTCTTTCAGGGGGACTGCTGTGTTATAAATAGGTTTATTCTTCACCGGTGAGCTAATTGTAACCTTGCTACCAAAATATGAATCTGTAAAGAGGAGAGTGGGGAGAGGAGAGGACATGCTGCTTCCTTCAGCATGTCCTGTTGAGGCTGCTTGTTGCATCTTGGAACATGAGTTGAATTACCTTGCAGTCTGTTCTAATAACTCAGGAGTACAGGGTGTTAAAGTGGGATGGACTTCTCAGTTCACAGCACTTTAGATCTTCCTTACTTTTGAAGGTTCAGTTAGAACACTGTAGTGGCTATTTCATTTTAATTTTGAAATTCTTATTGTTTACTGCTTGCTTTGAGCAGCAGTGAACATTAATTCTGGAATGCTGCCTCTTTTTGTTGAGTTCTTGTGTTCTCTGTTACAATGAGAGGGTCTTACCCCCCCTTTCCTCTCTGTATTTGCAAAAAGAAAGTTCTGAAGTCCTCTTCCTCATTCGGTCTTCTGGCTAGAGCTGCAGGGACCCATAATCAGTCAGACCCACCTGGGCTGGGGATGCTGCAACCCTTTAAGTAATCAGCTCTCAGACGCCTGGGTTTCTGGCAGTCTGATGTGCATTTCTCTCCCTTCGCCCCATGCTAAAATTGAATGCCTTCTCTGTGTTCTTGCTTTTCTCAGTTTTTCTATCCCATGCATGGTTTAACCTGAGCTTGAGCTTCAGAGGCACCATCTCCACTCTCGTCTACTCTCTTTGCCTGCTTGCTTCTCTATCATGGGTAACTGGGGCACCCAGTACAAGTACTACTTCAGAGTATCTTTCTTTCTTTATTCTGGAGCTGCCAGAGTTTAGTTTAGCTGTGACTTTTCCATCCCTAGTGATCTTATCTCTAATCTAGATTTCAAAGATAGTACTACTTCAGGCAATGCTGGTATGCTTTTTGTTTTTCTTCTTTTACCACCTGCATTTGTATTACTAATATATATTTTGCTGGTCCTGGGCTTGAACTCAGGGCATGGGCACTGCCCTTAAGCTTCTTTTGCTCAAGGCTAGTGCTCTATCACTTGGGCCACAGTGCCATTTCTGGCTTTTTCTGAGTAGTTTGTTAGAGATAAGAGTCTCACAGACTTTCTTGCCCAACCTGGCCTTGAACCTCAATCCTCCTCCTGAGTAGCTAGGATTACAGGCATGAGCCCCTGGCACCCAGCTCACTAATTATTTGTTTGTTTTTTGGTTGTGAGGACTGAACCCTGGGCCTGGGCACTGTTCCTCAGTACTTCAGCTCAAGGCTAACGCTCTACCTCTTGAGACATAGCACCATTTCCGGTTTTTCTGCTTATGTGGTGCTGAGGAATCGAACCCAGGGCCTCATGCATGCAAGGCAAGCACTCTACCACTGAGCCACATTCCCAGCCACTAAAATATTTTTATTTAGCGTAGTGAAAGTAATTTTATCAAATAGCCTCTAATATTTACATAGATAAATATAGAAGATTCTTATTTCATTTGGTTGGGTATGTGCCTGGAACAGCTTTTGGCAC